TTTCTTAGGGTTTCATAATTTCCTTTATAGAGGTCTTTCACCTCTTTTGTTAGGTATATTCCTAGGTATTTCATTCTCTTTGAAACTGTGGTGAAGGGAGTTATGTCCTTAATTAGCTTCTCATTAGATTTCATAAGAAATCTTTCTTATTTTCAAGGCATTAACCTCCTGAACTGCTCAGATCTAAAGAAGAACTAATAAAGGAAGTGTCAGCATTCTAGAATTGAGCCTTGTAGATGTTCTTTGAGTTTGATACTTCTTGTTTCAAATTACAGGTATATAAAATTTTTTGGAATTCCTCCTTTAGTGAATTTACCTATGTTACCATATATGCCATTTATGAAAGGTACCATAGGCACAGAAAGATGATCTTTTCCTTGGAGGAAAAGATTTAGTACCAGAGGGAAAAAAGCACAAAGAGATTTAAGCGCTGAATTGTGAAGCTACGACTGATGCTATAAAAATGAAGGGACTAAAGAGTTGAGTGGAGTTCTTAGAGAAGATTCTGTGGTAGCTGAGCTGTGTTTGAAGAATGGATTGGATTTCAGGAGAGAAAGACTAGGGGAGGAGAAGACTAGGAGAAAGACTAGGGTAGGCAGGAGAATGGTAGCGTGAGGGCCCCAGTACGGTTAGGATAGCAGTACAGAGGACAGGTCGGAGGTTAGCTTAGCTGGAGCAAAGGCAAAGATGAATAACTTAGGTGAGTTGGGTTATAGAAGGTCTTGAAATTAAGGTGGAGGAATCTAGATTTGATATAGTTTGGTCTTCGTCGCAATTGAGGGTTTTTAAACAGGAGTAAACATTGTGTTTAAAGAAAATTAGGATAGACTGGAGAGAGAACAGTGTGCCCATCTGCTTCATTGAATAGTTATAAGTGTCTGGCTCTCCTGGCTCTGGACCCCAGCCCAGCATCAGGAGGGCACATCCTTAATTGGGGTAGAAGGAGGATCTATGTGTGACTGTGAGCTGCGTACCACTGGCTCTTTTGTTCTAGAACGCCTCTACCTCTGGCTTTGAATTGGGTAATCTTGGTGGGAAAGAGGAAGGGAACCTGAAAGGAATCCTTTCTAGGATTTAGGAGCTGATAAAGCATGTGGGAAAGGCATGGGTCAGAAATAAGTCTGGACTTCTGAGTCAGAGTGAGTGAGAGGGTGTTGGCAGCCCTAACAGACGAAAAGACAGAAAGGAGAGCTGTTTTGTAAAGAGGAAGATTTGAGGTGGTTGAAGTGTGTAAGTGGACACATGCAAGTGATATACACCAGTAACTTCTGGAGTTCAGAATTGGAGACTGTCGGGTTGAAAGGACAGCACTGGTGCTTTAGAGCTGGAAGTCATGGGAGAAAGTTTCTGATTTTTAAAGAGTTGAGTGGAGTCACTAGAGAAGATTCCATGGTAGTTGAGCTGGGTTTAAAGAATGAATTGGATTTCAGAAGGAGAAAAAGACTAGGGAGGGAATGTAGGAAGGTAGCAGTGATTGAAATTTCAGGAGGGCGGCGCCTGTGGCTCAAGGAGTAAGGTGCTGGCCCCATATGCCAGAGGTGGTGGGTTCAAACCCAGCCCTGGCCAAAAAAAAAAAAAAAAGAAATTTCAGGGTCAGGGAAGGACAGAGGACAGAACTGGTTTGCGGTCTGAGAGGAAATTTTCCTGGTTACACCTGCTTATCAGATCTAGCCAACACATTGTGGAAGCCTGGGTGGCAGGAATTTTCCTATCTCCACCCCCTTACTGCCTGGATACAAGGGGCCACTTCTACATATGACAAACATGCTCTCACTCAAAAATGTTTTTGCACTTATATATGTATTTTTGCTCTAAACAAAACATCTGAATTATCCTTTTTTTATTCAATAAGGAGTGTTTTCTGAACTCAGCTCCCTGGCACCCCTTTGCCAGCCTGGTTTGGGTTAAGGTATTGTGGTAGTCCATGTGTGCTAAGGTCTCACTATGTGCTGGGAACTGCTAGTTTAACTGCTTTTCTGCAGTTCTCATTACTAAGTCAGAGACTGGTTGTGGCCTCTACCAAAATTAGTGAAGTTTTAGTATCCTTGGTTTTTTGCCAGTATTTATTTCTTATTTACTAATTTAAACCATTTGAGGATTGGGTTGATGTCTGACTTTTCTTCAGGATGAGTAGATGATCCAAAATGCACTCATGTGGGGCTTTCTGTGTGCACGTGATTGAGTGATTTCTCTTGTCCTCTAGAAATCGAGCTGAATTTATGTGCCACATGAAGCCCAGTGAGCGGAAGCCATCTTCCTCGGGGCCTGGGTCTGGGACCTGGACGCTAGTAGATGAGGGAGGAGAAGAGGTAACTCCATATGTCTACATGATTTGGATTAATCATTGGTGATCTCTTCTTAGGTGCCAGGTATCATTCTAAGCACTTCTCATATAGTATATCATTTAATTCTCCCAGCAACCCAGTAAGAGTGTTGTGACTCTCATTTTATAGAGGTGAAGTACCTTGTCCTAAATCTTAGGCTATTAAATGTGGAGCCTCCAGAGCCTGTGCTATGAGCCAGTGTATGGTGCTACTCTTCTTTAGAATATCCTTCTGTTCAGCTGGGGCAGTTTGACACAGTCATATTATGTAAAATTTATATTAGAAGTTTTTTTTAATGTGGTAACAAGTTTTTGGGCTTGGCGTCTTATCTACAGATGTTCTAAAATAGTTGGAATTTACCAAGTTTCTCCCCTAACTCTTAAACAAAATTATTATCCAGATTTTCTTATTTGAGAGGTAGAAAATGCTTTCCTATTTTTATTGAGAATTTAATGATCAAAATTCAGCTTCTCAAGATAATATTTTGTGGGGAAGATGAGGTAAATTAGCATTTCTCACCTGAAGGTCACAAGGTCCCCAGTTGTTTTGAATAACTATGATTAAGCTGGCACATGCCATATGTTCTTAAGTAATTGTCATTAGTGTTTAATTTGGATCCAGTGTTGGTCTAGATACCCTGAGTAAGGCCCCAGGGCTTTCCACTGGGGTGGGGAGAGAGGCTTCTTATACTGTCTCCCCTGCTCTCATGAGCTGAATGAAGGTAAATGTCCCTGTTCCTGCTTGCTGGCTGCCACGAATTGAATAAAGGGCACGTCACAGCTACCTTAAGCTCCTCGGTTCTTTTTCAGTTTGCTGAATCCAGTGCAGACCTTTTCAGCCTCAACCATTGGCAATACATGTTTGATACTTGTTAATTTTTCTTTCTACTTTAACTAAAGTAAAGTAATTTCTTCCAGCTAATTATTAGCCCTAGTCCTTTTATTTTTAGTGGTCCAAATCCCAATTTGAAGTTTTTGTGGAAGATAGCCAATGACTAAATCCCTCTCTTTAAGGGGATGAAGGTATGCAGCCGACAGTTCTCAGAATGGCAGCTGTGGCAGCCGTGGTGCTTCTCTATGAGTCTGTATTTCCCCAAGTGCTGATTCAGAAACCAGGATTCCATTCATGATGGTTTTATACCTCCTGAGACTTGCAGGGCTGGTGAGGTGGTGGTAAATCACGTGGACATGTACGCATCTTTGCTAGAGATTGAGCATTTCTCCTTAAAATAGCTTCTCAGGAACTGGTACAAATTCATCTTTTATAATTGCAGTGCATTAATGTTTTTTTCCTTTTTGCAGAGTGGTCTTTCTTGGGGAAGAAGTGGTTTTTGTTTATTTGTTTGTTTCCTGACAGTTTTTTTGCATTTATTCCCAGAGCATAATGATGAAGGACCCTGCATTGGTGCTTGGCTTCTAGTTAGCACTCACTAAATGTTGAGTGAAATTAAGTACTTTGGGAGTTGATGAGCAAGTTGGGAATAATGTTGAAATCAGAAAAGGCTGTGGGAAGGAAGGCACCCTGGATTATCTACGTCAGTGGTTTCTCCAGTCTGGTTGTGTATTAAAATCACCTGGGCCATTTACCTACCTTGTCCAGGCCCACATCCTGACATCCAAGTGTTTCAAAGTCTCCCTGGTGATTTTAATGTACAGCCAGAGTTGAGAACTACTGCTCTGAGTTTCTTGTTAGCTATTTTAGATACATAAGAGAGTAGAATTAAGTAGTTTTAAGGAAATGATGAATGAATTGTATTAGTCCCTTGTTGAAATTGAGGTGATATATTCTTTAGGTTCTCAGGATCTTTTTATATCCCTTGCATTTTTAATGTAGCATATCTTAGGACATAGGTCAGCTTGGTTTCTAAGGTGATTTAAGTACTATGTGTCAAACAGATTCCAAAGATTTTCCTTATATAATCTCTGGGTATAACCACTCTTATTTTTATCTTGCTTTCAGCATCACTAATTGACAACAGAACTTCAGTCATCTTTAACAAATGTTAATTGCTTCCTCATTAGGCTGTTGAGTACTCAGGTAGACCTTGAACTTGGGGGAAGAGAATTGTAACTGCAGTACTTGGACTCTAGTACATGGTTCTTTAATTTAAAGTTCTCACTCCAGAGGATTTCTTTTTTCCATCTTCTTTGGGGTGGAAATTTAATGAGACCAATTTCAGTCACTGGACATGGCCATGACCTAGATACATGTAAAGTTGTGCTTGTAATTTCAGGGGATTTTGTGGCTATTTGTGGAACTGAGACTAAAAATTTTAGTCCCAGAGGAAAAATCCATGGAAACTCATGAGGATATCACATACGTACCGTTGATACCTGTGGTAATTTAGCTCCTTTAACTTTAGACTGTAGTGTGATCAAATCAGCTGATGTGATTTTGTATTTTTTCTCTTAGGATGAAGATCCTGAGACCAGTTGGCTTCTCCTTAATGAAGATGACTTGGTTATCCTTTTAGCACAGTTCCCATTTCATGAACTCTTTCAACATCTTCTTGGCTTTAAAGCAACAGGTAGAATAATTTTTTTGGTCATATATAAAATGTAGTGGTGGCACGCTCAAACACAGGGGCTCTGCATTGAATCTTTTTCTTTTCTTCCTCCGTCAGCATGGACACCTTGACTTACTTCTTGTATAGGCTGCTGATTCAGGTTTTCTTGTGCTTATTCTGGACCTTTCTTTGTGCTTATTTCCCACTTTCTGCTTAAATTTGGTAAGGCTAACTTGTGCATTGCGCAGTACAATAAATTATTTTTAATTTTGTACTTTGTTTCAAGTTTTCCATTTCACATTGCTATAGGAACTAGAGTAATGAGATTATTAATTTCTCTCCATCTTGGGTTTAGTTCCTCCATAAAGTATTACACACCTCTGTTAGTGTTTTTTCATTGTAATTATAACTTTTTCCTTTTATTTGATTAACTTGCAGGTGATTATTTACCTGAAACAACAAGACCTCAGGAGATGATGAAAATTTTTGCCTTTGCCAACTCATTGGTGGAACTTCTGGCTGTGGGGTTAGAAACCTTTAACAGAGCGCGCTATAGGCAGTTTGTGAAACGAATTGGTTATATGATCAGGTAATGCCCCATTTCAGTGGCAGTTCATTTTCTACCTCTCTGGTTATTTCATTCTCATGCCCACACTTCTTTTTTTTTTGAGACAGAGCC